TATATTCACATAACACATTTTGGAAGCTGAATATACATTTGGCGCGATGGACCAGACTATGAAAGTATTATATATAAAGGAAGGACGCAAACTCAGCACATTAGAAATATGTTATATATGTGATACACAACGAAGAAGGGCCTACAAATGAATGATACATTTACAGAAATACATAATCCCATATTCAACATTCTAGTAAAAACACACACACCAAATAACCACACCCCTTCCGTATCTCTTCAGCCACTCACAGTATCCTCCCCTTTACCTCATACCACTCGACTCTACACAAACATACCCACATATACAGATACTCCCCAAACAAGTAGTCTAGACTGAACTGCTACAGCATAGCGACAACATGAACACAGGGAGCAGCTCGTACACACATACAGATACCCCCCAAACAGGTAGTCTAGACTGAACTGCTACAGCATAGCGACAACATCAACACAGGGAGCAGCCCATACACATATACAGATACCCCCCCAAACAAGTAATATAGACTGAACCGCTACAGCATAGTGACAGCATCAACACAGGGAGCAGCCCATACACATATACAGATACCCTCCAAACAAGTAGTCTAGACTGAACCGCTACAGCATAGTGACAACATCAACACAGGGAGCAGCTCATACACATATTCAGATACCCCCCAAACAAGTAGTCTAAACCGAACTGCTGCAGCATAGTGACAACATCAACACAGGGAGCAGCTCGTACACACATACAGATCCCCCCAAACAAGTAGTCTAGATTGAACTGCTACAGCATAGTGACAACATCAACATGGAGCAGCTCGTACACATATACAGATACCCCCCAAACAAGTAGTCTAGACGGAACCGCTACAGCATAGTGACAGCATCAACACAGGGAGCAGCTCGTACACATATACAGATCCCCCCAAACAAGTAGTCTAGACGGAACCGCTACAGCATAGTGACAGCATCAACACAGGGAGCAGCTCGTACACATATACAGATCCCCCCAAACAAGTAGTCTAGACGGAACCGCTACAGCATAGTGACAGCATCAACACAGGGAGCAGCTCGTACACATATACAGATCCCCCCAAACAAGTAGTCTAGACGGAACCGCTACAGCATAGTGACAGCATCAACACAGGGAGCAGCTCGTACACATATACAGATCCCCCCAAACAAGTAGTCTAGACGGAACCGCTACAGCATAGTGACAGCATCAACACAGGGAGCAGCTCGTACACATATACAGATCCCCCCAAACAAGTAGTCTAGACGGAACCGCTACAGCATAGTGACAGCATCAACACAGGGAGCAGCTCGTACACATATACAGATCCCCCCAAACAAGTAGTCTAGACGGAACCGCTACAGCATAGTGACAGCATCAACACAGGGAGCAGCTCGTACACATATACAGATCCCCCCAAACAAGTAGTCTAGACGGAACCGCTACAGCATAGTGACAGCATCAACACAGGGAGCAGCTCGTACACATATACAGATCCCCCCAAACAAGTAGTCTAGACTGAACCGCTACAGCGTAGTGACAACATCAACACAGGGAGCAGCCCGTATACATATACAGATACCCCCCAAACAAGTAGTCTAGACTGAACTGCTACAGCATAACAGCATCAACACGGAGCAGCCCGTACACATATCATCATAAGAAAATCAAATATGTGGTAAGCTAACAATGAGTTTACAAACACTCACAAGCTTCTCCTTATAATAAGTAAAAAACTGTTACAGATCACTTTGAATAAAGAACCTGTTGGGTGACATATAGAATAACAACCATAAGTTCCAAAAGTCAGTATAGTAAGGTCAAGACCACATGACCTAACTCATGAGAGAAGACCCCGATACGCAGGTGCCCCACACTATAGTCACTCCTACCACCTAAAAAAATCACGTCAACGCGTGGCATTCACAAAGTTTTAAAGAGATATCAAGAAATATTTCATTTCCATTGTAGTACAATTGTAATTTTTATGTTTTAATCTTTAGTCGATAATTTTTCAATTCTATTGTTTGAGTATTTTAAAATTTTAACTGAAAGATTCAATTTATGTATTTAAAAACACTCAAGTGCACAGTATGGATCCTTATTGAAGAATTAGTTGCAAATTGTTAAATGCAATTCACCAACTGAGTCTGGTATCATTGTATGCCCAATGGTGACCCATTAGAAGGGTTAACACATGTAGCATCAATAAAACCGAATGTTGATATGATAGTGTCTTCTTGCTTTTAAATGTAGAATGTTGTTGTGTAGACTGCATACTTCTGTATACATTTTATGTACCTATGTACTCCTGCTTCTACACAGTGTGGTGTGCCCAATACCATTTCACACATGCAGAAGTAGTGGCCATTTTCTGGCAAAAGCCAAACGTTTACATTGTCAAGGGATCTTGTGTGGCAACCTAGGAGATGACTCATATGGATTTGCTCATGGTATCAGGGTGGACATGTCTATTGAACTGACACTATTCTATTATTATTATTGACGCCTTTTACACACACACACATATATATAGTCACGTGTAGGAGGGTTTTGCTGGGCCATATGGAGCCTTTCTTAGTATCCTTTTTTAGCTCAGCCTTTATTGTTATTTCGTTTTAGCAGCCTATCCACTATTAACCTTTAATGTGTGGACTTCTAAATTGCCGCCAGTCCTCTGCAGCCAGTATTTAAATCACCCTAAGTAATTGACATTGCAAACTTCAAAAAAAAAAATACATATTTTCTGTTCTATGCAACATAGAAATACAAACTAAAAACAACCTGAAAGACAATAAAATATTCTAAATGTACACAAAAGAGCAATTTTTACCAACGAAAATTAACTGATGATTTTGTCATGAAATGCAAAATATAATCTTTATTATATATGTTATGAAATTCCAAAGGACTTACCCGTTGTTTTTTCTTCAACCTTGAATCATGGTTCAGACTGTACAAGAGTTTGAACTGCATCACTTCACAGTTTACAATACTCACACACTCTGACGCGCATGGAACTTCTTGAAGCAGTCCACTTCACACAAAGCAACATCACACTTTTCACAATTTTTCTTATTTAGCAAAATGCATGATGTCTTTGTTTCCCTTTGGTTGGCCAGTGTTGTGAATGTTTCACCTCCAGTCAACTCATTTGGGCCCCAGGTAACCTTNCCCCCCGAGAAACTCCACTGCCCGTGATATTTGCCTTGTGCAATTGAACAATCATCTTGGGGTAGGGGGGTTTCTAGCAAAATCTAATAAATTATGTTGATTAACAAAGCGACACTCTTCACTTATTAGTAATACTTGCAAAATAGTGATGCAGAGTAATTATAATACTAGTCGAAAAGAGTGCCAGTCCGACACTGACACCGAAAGTCACGGTGATGAAGATGCTTTTTACTCACAAAGTAATACTGGCTCAGGGGATTTAGACCTCTTCCAAGACACAAAATAAAAGTGATATACAAAGAATTATATGACAGTCTGACACTGACTTTTTAAATGATACAGAAATATTAGACAATCCGACACTGACTTCGTGACTGATAATTCGCCATTGAAAACCAATTCTTGAATACGGGACACTTCCTTGAAGGCTCTGGAAGCACTAATATGCAAGCACCGATGAATATTTCCTCATCAATTCTCGAAACAAAGCTGGGCTATATTTGGCTGACCAGGTCATAAACAGTCATATCTAAACATAAATAGTATTGAAATCAGTACCATGATAAACGATTTCATTCTTCATGACCTTAGGAGCGTTTGTTTTGGTTTCAAACCCAAGGTCACACTGTCAGCGCTCCCAAAGACAGCATGTGTCCTGCCGTATAAATATATATAGTGTGACATGTTGACCCCTACCTCCCCAGCTGCACGTAGCGGTAACGTAGCGCTCACGTAATAGGCGAGTAATCACCCCGCAACTCTCCCTGCGGTGACGTCACGAGCGGAGCCAACGTTAGCCGAGTCCCCGCAACCTTGAAGCTATGCAAAGCTAGTCAACAGTGGTGACGTCACCAAGGGGTAACAGCGTCCTAGGCTATACGCCACATCACACTAGCAACAGCAAACGGAATAAAAGCCGGCTGAGCAGCAAGCGAGAGTGAATGTGTTATCAACAGTTCTCAAGGTAGCAGCCAGCGAGTGTGCGATAGCTAAGAAGCCAGTGAGCGGAAGACTTATTGTGTGCTTTCGAGACTTAGTGAGTGCTGTAGTACAGTTATACCTGGAGTGTGTAATTCAGGGAGATTTGTATAGCTCCCGCGTTATTAGCACGTGAAGATTTTGTTGTAGGGTTTGTAAAGTGTGGAAACCCGTATCAGTGTTATAATTAATTGTAGCCGGTATTTGTAGATTGTTCAGTAAACCAATTAATGATCTCTACGGCGTATTCTGTAACGAAACACGTTACATTGGTGTCAGAAGTGGGATGAACTTAAACACGCCACAAACAATTTGTTGTGAATCAAGTATCTTACCACTACAAAATGGAGATTCAGCAGATGATGGAAATGCTGGCAAGAATTGACGCCAGCATGAAAACCGAGAAGGAAGAAAGGAGGAAAGACAAAGAGGATTTCCTGGTGAAATTAGAATCCAGTCAAGAAAAAGCAAATATCATGCTGGCAACATTATACGCCGATAGAAAAACTGATAAAGACGATATGCTGAAAGAGATGAAGGCCATGCAAGAAAATACGAAGACAGACAAAGAGGATTTAATGGCCAAATTAGACGCCAACCAAGAAAAGGCGGCGGCCGACAAGGAAGAATTGAAAGCCCTAATGCAATCTATGCGAACAGAATTGGATGATAAAATCGAACATAGAGTTGAAAACATTTTGGCTATCGTTGAACACGACAAAGAGACTCTCCGGTCAGAAATAACTGAACAGATTGAAGTGTCCCTCTGTGCGCAGACAGATAAAATCCAGGAAGAGCTAATGAAAACATGTGCAGCAATTGAAGAAACCCAACGAGATTTCCAGGCCCGGTTGGACGTAGTACAGACGAGGACCGAGCAGGGAATCACACCAACGATCGTCGCGAGCACAGCTCAGCCACCGACATTCAACGGGAATTCAACGTGGAGCGTGTTCCGGCGACAATTCGAGACCGTGGCCGAACACAACCAATGGTCGGAGTGGGAAAAATCGACATACTTAATTACTGCCCTAAAGGGTCGGGCAGCGGAAATACTGCCCGGCATTCCGGCAAATACCACTTACGAGGAAACTCTTCAGGCTCTAGAGGACCGTTTCGGGGACCAACACTTTGCAGCTGCTTACCACTGCCAACTAAGAATGAGGATGCAGAGACCTGGAGAATCCCTGCAAGACTTTGCCACGGCCATTGAACTCCTTTCCCATCGTGCCTACCCCAATCTACCTGCTGACCACATAGGAAGGGAGGCAGGAAAAGCCTTTGCATACGGAATCTGAGATGCTGATATAAAGTTCCAGCTGCTGTTGGGAGGGGATAAGACGGTAAACAAGGCCCTCCGACAAGCGCTAGAGCTGCAGGCGGTACTGGTAGCAGCCAGACCTCACGGAGATAGCACCAGGTTCCGACCTTCCCCCACCGAACGAGATGGCAATAGACAGCACCAGGACCGAAAAGAAGGACCTCCAAGAAATAAACGGGAATCGCCGGGGAAATCAGAATGGCTACCCAGAAACAACAGGGAAACAAGCTGGAGAAAGGAGCAACCGTCGCGAAACGAGCGAAGGCCGGCGGAGATGGGCGAACGCCGGCATATGCCTTAAGGCCCCCACATTATGCACTCACCGACATGACAGAGAAAGCCAACACCAGTCTGGTCACCCAGGGATGGGTCGGTGATAAGCCGTGTCAGGTGACAGTGGACACTGGAGCATACGTCATGGTAGTAAGACCGGATATCGCCGCCGGATGGCCTGAGAGACAGCCAAATCCAGATTTCACGCTGCAGACCGTGTCTGGAGGATCCCTACCCATCCTGAAAGAAGTTCTGTTGACCCTTACCCTGGGGCGCCAACCGATAACAATGTGGGTTTTCGTCGCGAATATCACAGATGAGCTCATCCTGGGACTGGACATACTGCGCGCCTATGATGCTTCAGTGGATATAGGGCGCCAAACTCTGCGTCTGGCGGAAGAAGAAGTATCGCTATGGAGTCCTGGGACAGGACCCTGTCCTTCTAGCTTAATAGTGGCAAAGGACCATGTGATACCCGCACGGAGCGAGGGAATAGTGATGGCTAGAATGGAGAATCATCTGGGAGTAGAAAATGGTCTAATAGAACCAAACCCCCAGGCCCACCAGCCTGAAGGAATCTACGTCGCCAGGACCCTTGTTCAGGACTGTCAAGAAGTACCAGTGAGGGTCATGAATGTTACCCACAAGGACCAAAAGCTCAGGAGAG